AGAGAGAGAGAGAGAGAGAGAGAGAGAGAGAGAGAGAGAGTGAGTGAAAAAGAAGGGAGAGAGACAGATTTTGTTCTACCAAAAGTGCCAGTGCCAATAGGAATGATCTGTAAGAAGGCCTCCTCTCAAAATGAGTTATCTTTGTTTTCAAATACGTCATCCTTTTAAAAAAATTCACGTAGATTATGATCTAATTTGCTGTATTGTCCGTCCTAGTGTTGCCCAGGCGTATTGAAGACGGGACTCACGAGCTTCAAAGGGGAGAGGTCACCAGAAGAAGGTGAGGAGGTTAATCAGGTGTTAGTTAACTGATAGGCTGTGCACGAGGTTACACGTTTATTGATGAGATGCAGTTCCAGCACACATGAGGACAGGGCTTGTGTTGTTGAATGGGGCCCTTGTAATTGTTAGAAGTCAACTGTTTTTCTTCCCCTCTGTATACGTCCATGTAATGTTGTTTTAGGTCTTTTATACAAGTAATTTCACGTTTTTCTGAGGATGAGCTTACCTTGGCGTCTGTGGGGGTAATGATCAGGCTCTTCACTGTTGCACGCAGTGAACAATAATGAGTTGGTGTTTTTAGTCTATGTCATCTGTCTAGCCTTCTTGGATGCTGTATCCCATTCAGCATTCTCCACTGATTGAAATGAATGGCCCTGGGAAGCAATGTCGAAGCAGCCTGACCCCTAAACTGTATAAATTGAGTGGATGATGACGTTAAACATTTACTCATTTACTATCATTGCATTCATTTCTCTCAACCTAACCACTAGTGCCTGTGGTGTAGTGTCACACACAGGAGACCCGAGTTCGTTTCCCGTGATTGGAGAGATTTTATCGAGTATCCGAGTAATTCTCTTGGGACGTTGTATCCCTCTCAGGCCGGGTTGACCCTGACAGACAGGGTCGAAGCCTGCCTCCTAAATTGTCTAAATTGAGTCGATGGGGGAGTAAAAACAGCTTACTGGAATACAAACATTTTTTTAACAATCAACCTGACCTGTCACCCATCTTCTCTCACCCCAGGGGCGGCAACTCCTCTCTACCTGTGTCTTCTTCCCGCCAACACCACGGACCCGCGCGGGAAATTCTTGCAAGACAAGCAGGTGACAGCTTGGGTGGTCTGAAGTCGAACAAACTGGACGGTCTGACGTCACAAACTGATTTTTTGTTGTTGTTATGTATGTCCTGTTATTTGTAGTTTCTGATGTAATGGTAAAGCGAATCAGTGTGTGTGTGTGTGTGTGTGTGTGT